AGATTGTGGACACTTTTTCCCTTTTTCCTTTGTAGGACCCCAACCAAGAGTCTTCTTCTAAGGCTATTCTTAAGTGATTTGTGATTACTGTTTCCTGAAAGTCTTTTCTTTGATTTCTGTGAGATTTGGAAGGATTGAGGTCCCTCAATTTTCCCACTGTCATCATAAAACACCAATACCAAAAATGCTCACCTTTCATCAAACTTGACAGCCCCTTCCTGCCCCCACAGCTCAGTGAAATCCCCCAACAACTTAAAAGGAAGCATGCCCCTTTTTGCAGTTGCCTAGGCTGGGAGTACAGATAGGGCTCTTGGCTTTGTGGAAATTTATGTCTTTCCAGAGAAGTCGACATTACTTCCATCAACGTCAAAGATGCAACTGATTAATTGCAGGCATGCTGCAGTTTCTCATGCCAAATGCTAAGTATTCAATGCAGCCTGACGACCCAGAGGACATGTGAAGAGCTTGTTGGAGCCAATAAATGTAGTTAATTAAAAAAAAAAAAATCAATGCCAATTTCTCCAACACCTCCTCTTTTACAAAGGGAATCTATTTTCTTCTCTTGACCAACACAGGGTGGGAAGGATTCAAGCAGCACTGCCTCCCTCTTCTGACCCTTTAGGTTCTCTCCAGTGACAAAGTCCCAGGAAAATGTCAGCGTTCTCGGGCGCAACAAACACACCACCATCACCTTTGTTTTGCTTCCCCGCTCCCCGGGCAGCTGGGCAATCACACTCTGCTTCTCTCCACCCAACTGAGACCACTTTCTCTAAGTCAAAAGGGCACTTCACACCTTCTGGTGGCTAACTACAAGTGTTTCTCCAATTAAAAAGAAAAAAAAAAATCCCCACTCAAACCACCCTCTCCACCAGCTGCCTGGCCTTTCCTTCCTTCCCTTCCCAGCTTAACTTCTTGAAAGAGTTGCTGCCATTCTGTCATCCACCCCTCACATGGCGCCCCTACCCGCTTCAACCTGGCTTTGGGGGACCATAGTGCCGGGGCAACAGTTCTCACTAAGGTGCCCATGAGAAACAGTGCTCCGTCCCCATCGGGCTAAACCTCCCAAACCGGGAGCAGAAAGGACCCCTTTTTTTTTCTTTTTTTAAAAATTTTTATGTATTTATTTGTCAGAAAGGGAGAGAGGGAAAGGGAGCACAAGCAGGGGGAGCGGCGGGCAGAGGGAGAGGGAGAAGCAGGTTCCCCGTGGAGCAGGGAGCCCGATGCAGGACTCGAGCGCAGGACCCTGGGATTATGACCTGAGCCGAAGGCAGACGCTTAACTGACTGAGCCACCCAGGCACCCCAGAAAGGACCCATTTTCTAAAGGGAGCTGCAAATAAAGGGGCAATACCCCACCCCGAAGAGATGGGAGAACTGACTGCTCCCTACAACCACCTCTCCCCCACATCTCCATCCCCCAACTCCCAAACTGGGAGGAGGGTAGAAGAAGGAACTCAGAGTCTTCGCGTCAGAGTCTTAGTTTAGGGAAAAGTGCTGTCGTGTGGGGGCAGGAGAGGGGGAAGGGAATGAAGAGACTTTGTCACAGAGACTAGGCATGCCCACAAAAAGGAGAGACTGACCCTTCATTCCCCAACTGGATACAACAACAAACATGCTGATTTGCTCTGCCCCTACCAGACCAAACGAAAGGACAACTGCAGAGAGATGTCAGGACAGAAAGAAGCCTTAACCCCCAGTTCTGCTTGCTTCACAGAACACTGACGAAGGTGACCAGTTAGAACATGTCACCAGTACCCATCCAAAAGGGCTTCCTGCCAGGACAAGGGGATCCCAGCACCAGTTACATTAGAGGCACTTAGCCGCCCCCTTTCCTTCCACCCCACCCAACATAGGAGATTTGGTTGGAGCCCAGAAGAAGGAAAGGGAGGAGGGGTCCCAGAGGCAGACCATCCCTCCTCCCCACTTCAGGTCCCTCACACCACAAGCCTGGCCAGTGATAAGCTCAGGGAAAGCCTTAAATCAAATGCCTGTGGTATTCCCAGAATATCCAAATAAGTGGCACACGATAGGCTTAATCATTATTTGTTGAATAAATGACTGAAGAGCTCCTTGTCCTTTCTGCCTCATTTTGTTCATTCACTCCAGCCACAAATATTCGCTGAAGGTTGATTCTATACAATTTAATCATGGAAAGGCGATTAAGACATGTTCCTCGCCCTCCAGAAAGTTACTAGAGAACAGAAGCAAGTACAGACTTGCATCTGTCACAAGCACTTGTAGGAACCATGGCATGGCAGCAGTACAAAGTACCAAAGACATTAACTCAAAAATCCAAACCACCCACTCAAGTATACCCTCCCAGCTTTCTCTCGTCAGTTTACATATGGAATTCTCACGTCCGCCTTTTCGGTGAACGCTGGTCTTTTATCCCTCCTGCTAAAATGCATTTACCCTTAATGTGTCAAGGGTAGTGGTTAACACACCACCATCTATGTGTGATATCCTGGAGAAAGCCAGGAAAATCCATATTCCTTGGATCTAGGGTAAGCCAAAAAGATTTCAGTGCACAGCCTTGGATGAGGCCCTGGAGAAATGTCAAGGTACGTATGGCCTTTCTTGGAACACCATGGTATGTGATGCAGCACAGCGTAAATGCTGTACGTTTAGGATAAAGGTGATGCCAGTGATGTACATTTCCCCTCAGACAGCATCTTGCCCACAGAAAGATGGTCATGCATTGTGGAGAGCCAAACTACTATACCACCTATCCAGAAATCACATGGGATTTACAGGTTGTTTATCAGCAGACTCAGAATTAGCATTTAAAGTCTCATATTTGCAGAAAGCAAATCACTCTATATAATCTCTAGTTCCCTTGTAATCACTAACTTACAGTCCTTCAGCAACCATTATTGCTTCTCACATATATTTTTGACAAGAGGTTTTTTTTTTAATGTTCATTCTTCACCGTTATTAGAAAATAATATATGCTCAATACAAAAACAAATCTAGAAAATACAGCAAAGTTGATAGAAAAAATATCATGCAAATTTTTACCAACTCTGTTAATATTCTGGTATATTTCCATTTAACCTCTGTTTGATTTAATAGCTATTTGGAATTAATATGCCCCATAAGCCAACTCTGGTAAAAATCACCAATGAACTAGGATATAAAGTGCCATCTGTAATCTCTTCCAATTATGAACAAGGTTGGAGCTGCAGGACTATAACACAACCAGTAGATTCAACTTTAAAAGCTTAAATTCAGTGGAGAGAAAATTGGTTAAGTGGGTTATTTAATAGACACATAGACCAATGGAATAGAATAGAGAGCCCAGATATGGACCCTCAACCCTATGGTCAAATAATTTTCGACAAAGCAGGAAAAAATATGCAATGGAAAAAAGACAGTCTCTTCAATAAATGGACAGCTATATATAGAAGAATGAAACTCGACCATACTCTTAGACCATACAGAAAGATAAACTCAAAATGGATGAAAGACCTCAATGTGACACAGGAATCCATCAAAATCCCAGAGGAGAACACAGGCAGTAACTTCTTTGACATCGGCCACAGCAACCTCTTTCAAGACATGTTCCCAAAGGCAAGGGAAACAAAAGCAAAAACGAACTTTTGGGACTTAATCAAGATATAAAGCTTCTGCGCAGCAAAGGAAACAGTCAACAAAACAAAGAGGCAACCCACAGAATGGGAGAAGATTTTTGCAAATGACACTACAGACAAAGGGCTGATATCCAAAATCTATAAAGAACTTCTCAAACTCAACCCCCAAAAAACAAATAATCAAGTCAAAAAATGGGCAGAAGACATGAACAGACACTTCTCCAAAGAAGACATACAAATGGCTAACAGACACATGAAAAAATGTTCATCATCATTAGCCATCAGGGAAATTCAAATCAAAACCACACTGAGATGCCATCTTACACCAGTTAGAATGGCAAAAATTGACAAGGCAAGAAACAACAAATGTTGGAGGTTGTGAAGAAAGGGGAACCCTCTTACACTGTTGGTGGGAATGCAAGTTGGTACAGCCACTTTGGAAAACAGTGTGGAGGTTCCTCAAAAATTAAAAATAGAGCTACCCTAGGGCCCAGCAATTGCACTCCTGGGTATTTACCCCAAAGACACAGATGTAGTGAAAAGAAGGGCCATATGCACCCCAATGTTCATTAGCAGCAATGTCCACAATAGTGGAAAGAGCCAAGATGCCCTTCAAAGGTGAATGAATAAAGAAGATGTGGTCCATATATTCAATGGAATATTACTCAGCCATCAGAAAGATGAATACCCACCATTTGCATCAACATGGATGGAACTGGAAAGGATTATGCGAAGTGAAATAAATCAAGAAGAGAAAGTCAATTATCATATGGTTTCACTTCTTTGTGGACCATAAGGAATAGCGTGGAGGACATTAGGAGAAGGAAGCGAAAAATGAAGGGGCAGAATCGGAGGGAGAGATGAACCATGAGAGACTATGGACTCCGAGAAACAAACTGAGGGTTCTAGAGGGGAGGGGGCGGAGGGATGCGTGAGCCTGGCGATGGGCATTAAGGAGGGCACGTACTGCATGGAGCACTGGGTGTTATACGCAAACAATGAATCATGGATCACCACATCAAAAACTAATGATGTACTGGATGGTGACTAACATAATAAAAAAAAAAAAAAAGTGGGTTGTTTAATGTATGTATGCAAGCTGGCACTCTTCACTTTTCTATTTGTCTTTCCATGAGCCCAGCACTTGGAGTAAGTTTGTCCAAGCTTTTGGGAAACAATCACTTCAGATATAAACCCCGTTAAACAGAAGTTCCTCTGATCGTTCAAAAAAGGATAATTTCATGGGCAATTCTTAGAGGCCCAAAAAACCATAGTGTTAGCAGTGGGTTTTTAGACAAGTATACAATTGCCATTATTGGTCAAGATATTTAAGAAGGATTTTATTTTCATCCCAGTCTTCCATTACAGACATGCTATTCAATGACAGCTAGGATAAAAATTATGGGCTTACCTGATTAAGAAATCATGCAGTCCAACATCAAAATACCTGTCCAAAGAAGACACAGACAAGTATGTCAGTAAAAGAAATGTACAGCAATGGTGGACTTGACCAAAAATATGAAATTTACATTCAGAGCATGGTAAATCAATCAATCACTCTCTAACAGTGGTTCTCAAAGTATGACCCCTGGAGTGGCCACAGCAGCATTACCTGGGAATTTGCTGGAAATGCAAACTCTCAGGCCCTACAGCTCAGCATACTGATGCACAAATTCTGGGGGCGGGGCCCAGCAATTAGATCTGACAAGCCCTCCAGGAGATTCTGACGCAGAACCACTGCTCTATGAAAGCAAAAGTGTCTCAGCAAGACTATGCGCTCTCTCTAGGAAAAAAAAAAAAAAAAGGCCATAAAAGTAGATTTCACCACTTTGACAACAGGTGAGTCCTTTTATAACACTGGTTATCTCAGATGTTCCCTCGCTCAAACATAAATGAAATATTTTACAAGTACAAAACCATGCTGGCCAAAGTTAAGAACAGGGGTGGGGTGGGGAAGGGTCAGCTCTGTCCTTCCATGTCCCTCCCGGCCATAGTCCCTGGAGCTTTTAACCAGAGAGCAACCCTGTCCATAGCTGGGTTGGCCCTGGGAGGGAAGGGAGGAGAGACGCTCCATGAACATGCTGGTGAGCCAGCCACTGTGCTTAGCCTCACACCGGGCAGCCAGTAAACACTGGGCAGTGGTGGACCCTTTCAGAGTTGGCTTCTCCTGCCACCACCAAACTGGCTTCATCCATATGAATGGCACTGCCTTGGTTTCTCTAATTAGCTCATTTATTTCCCCTAAACCTCTGACCACTTAGCCAGGGTCTTTCTCTCCCCTTTGGGTCTGGCTGTGAGCAAAAAGACTGGGTGGCTGGAACCACGATGTTGCTGCCCACCACGCATGACCACTACTCCTAATACCTAGATGGTGGTCATTGTGTCCCACCCAACAGACCGGCCTCCCGGGTTAGCGATCTGCCCAAGTAAAGCCTGAGTTAATTCTGTCCCTACAGACAATGAGCAACAGACACAGAAATTCACCCTACAGTGGGGCCTGACTGCCAAGGCCTTGACTGTCCCTAGCTCCCAGCATCACCCCTCCCCCGTCCCTGGAACATCCCAGCACGCCTGGCACCTCACCTCACCTGACATAGAGCAGATGATTACTGACATTAAAATAGGATTCCTTTGGGTACCTTTAAATGGCAAGCTTCCTTTATGTGCTCAAAATCTGTTTACCGGTCATGGACACAGGGTAGAAGAGAATAGAGCAACAAAGCCAAAATATAAGGTACCTCATTCCCTGTGTCACTTACCTGAAGTCATCACATGATTCAGGGAAAATGGAATTCAAGATACATAAATTCCACTTACTCATAAGTCTTCTGAAAAGAGCTCTAAAGGGAGATGTACCTGCAGGGTTAGCTGATTCGTTTCAGTTGATATTACATTGACCTGAGGAGAGGCTAAGTACTTCCTACAATCATATTTAACACAGATTTTTGAAAAAAATGAAAGACAGAAATGATCCCTCCTCTCAACCAAAACCACGGCTATATTCCTCAGCCACATAAGTAAATATTCATATGACAGATAGCAATTGCAAGTTCGCCAGGATCTGCAATACGGGAGATACAAGTATGTTTAGATTAGAACAAAGATTTCAGCTTCTTTCATTCATCCAAAACCTATTCAGCCTTTTCAATGACATGAGCCACAGAAAGCATCAGATTCTGTTGCTGGAATCATAGCATAAAGTAGACACAGAAAGGAATCACAGAGTACCACAATATGGGAGGGAGGAAGCCGACTCTGAGGGAGTAATGAGAAACCTAATTATATTCATAGAAATGATTACTTAGTATCTAGAAGGTGGCAACTACTATGTTCAGTGCACACATACACAAGCCACTGCAGTGAGGCTGGTACTGGCATCTCCATTCATGAGTGCAGGAACTAAAGCTCAGAGGGTAAGTAACTTGCAGTGCTCACAGCTAGTAAAAGACAAATCTGGGAGTCAAACTGGAATTGCCAAGTCAAGCCATGAATTGCTTGCTCTTCCCCCTAAAAAGCACAGGCTCTCACTGCCTCTCATTATTACTAATTGAAAATGACTGTTCATTTTAAGAACAGGTCCCTTTCCACCTGCCCTGATTTCTGCTTCTTCCAACGTGGCTGCCCTGCCCCAGGCAAGCCCACCTGCTCTGCTTCCCTGAGCACACCTGCCCCGCAGGTGCCGTCCGTCCCCTTGGGTCTTAGAATCAAGTCAGGCTCTGGGAAGTTATGTAACCTCTGGGCTTCAAGTTTTCCATGGGAAAATGGAGATCCCTTACTCATGGAAGGTTATGAGAATTAGGTGATATAACATAAATACAGGGCTTAGCACAGTGCTTGGTAAACCCGTGAGTACTCAATAAATAGTAATCTCCTTCCCTCCAATTTTTAAGAGTTGTTTTAATGGAAGCCCAATTCCCAATAACTCAGTAGGAGAAGGAAGCCACACAAAAAGGAAATAAAAGGTCTCACTATGCAGCCCACGAAGAGAGGGCACTGAATCCAGGACGCAGCCAGAGCCTGAGCAGTGGAGTAAAGGGTAGTACAGCTGGAAAGCTGAGGGACAGGCACAGAGCTTAGGAAACAGGCAGGAGAGCAGGAAGACCAATTATTCCAGGGAGGCCTCATAGACAGCCTTGAAGTTGCATGCGAGAGCCAGCAGGGCCTACAGGGGAGCGGGATCTGGCCACCAGGCAGGGAAGGTATCCTCCTGCCCTGGTCCTGACTGGCATCTCAGTAAGAAGGACCAGTACACAGTAGTGCGTGCCCAGCTTCACCTGTTGCCGTGGTGTCCCCTAAAGTTTAGGGCTTAAATATACAGAAGTAAGGGATTGTGTTTCAGAACATTTCTTCTTATGCAAACATGACTGGTCACGGATGGAATTTGGGGCCGGGACAATGAGGGTCTTTAAGCATCCTGTGTAAGGCAAGTTTACGATGGAGAATACTATAATGAGTTAACAGTCACTTGGAAACCAGTGGAATGGAGAAGGTCAAGGATGGGGATTAGCATCAGAAAACGTACCAGGAAAAACGTAAGGGGAAGAAAATGGAACTTCCTCACAGGTATTTACATCTTACTCCTTTGCTACGTCAGTTCATCTGTGTGGACATTCATTCACAGATACTTTGTCAGAGCCTTCTAAGTGCCGGGCATCGATCTAGCCCTGAGGATGGGGGCGGCGGGGGGTGGAGAGTAACATAACAAGGTCCTACTTCTCATGGCACTCACAGTCTAGGTGGGAGAGATGAACAATAAATAAGCACTTAGATAAAGAAGATAACATCAGAGAGCAGAGAATGCACACAAGGTGACAGGACAGAGAAGCGGGCCACACAGCCGCTCAGGGAAGTCCTCTCTGATGAGGTGACACTTGGGTTGAAATCTGTACGGTCAGAGAGGATGAGCTACGCAAAGACCAGAGGGAGAGTGTTCCGGGCAGGAGGACAGCTGGGTAGAGCCCCGAGGTGGGAAGGAATGTGGCAGGTTGGAGGAAAGGATGCAGGCCAGCAGGACCGGGACAAGACAAGGTAGACGGGGGCCGGGACTAGATCTGAGGAGGCTGTACAGAAGGAGTCCGGGCTTCATTGTAACATCGATGGGAAGCACTAAAGGGTCTTTAACAGGGGAACGGTATTTTTTTCATTTGTTTAAATTTTATTCATTTAGGGGGTGAGGGAGTGGTATGCTTTGATTTATGTATCAAAAATTACACTCTGGTTGTCCTGAAGGGAAAGGATGGGAACAGAAGCGGGCGGGGAGCCACGGTCGTCTAGCTGAGAGGTGATGGGGACTCACCCCAGGATGGAAACGCTGGAAATGAGGGCAGAGACAGGGATGGATTCAGAGAAGATTCTGTGGTTGAGTACAAAGACTTGCTCATAGACTCATGCAGGGTGGGGACGAGGAAGTGAGGGAAGGAGGAAGGGAGGGAGAGAAGGAGGGAGGGGAAAAATAATCTGCAAAAGAGCTGAGTGCCTCACATCACGCAGTTTCACACCAGGCAACCCAAAGGCTCCGCCAGGCCTCGGCTGCTTCTGGAGGCTCCACAGTAATGCTTGGTGGCCTGCATCCAGACTGAGGGGATGACGATGTTCTGTGACTGGCTCAACTTGGAGAACGGCTCACCTGCTGGAAGAACTGGAAATCGTGGCAATGGTTTGGGGGTCTTTTTAATGAATTTATTGTGGCAAAATCCACATAACACAAAACTTCCTCTTGAACCATTTTTTATGTGTACAGCTCAGTGGCATTAAGCACACTCACGCACACTGTTGCACAACCATCACCACTGTCTGTCTCCAGAACTTCTCCAACCTGCCTCACATGAAACACCGGGTTTCCTCTTGACCACAGTAAAGCTGATTTGGACTCCTTCCAAAGGGTTCAGGGGTGCCCCCTCACATAGGGCTGTGTCTTTCATTTCAAAACAGAAGCCAACCAATGCAGTCTAGAAATATTTTCTCGCTCAATTTTTCTGTGTAGATGTAAAAGGCGCCTTAAGGAAATACAGTGAAAAGGGAATATGCTTTTCTTTTCTTATTTTGGAATTGTATGCCGGGCTCTGGGCTAGGCCCTCTGGGTACTACCTCTTTTCGTCCTCCCCACCTGCCAGAGTAGATCCCTGCTTTATAAAGCCTCATGTCCTTATCCCCTATCACATAGCTAGTAAGTTGCTACATCAGGATCTAGCTCAGAGTACCAAATGCCAAAGTCTTTGCTTTTTCCCTTCGTGTGTTCAGCCACCGACTCGTTTCACAAATATTTACCATGTGCCAGGTAGTGGGAATTCAGTGATGCACAGCCCAGAACCCCTGCTTCAAGGGAAGTAGAGCCTAGTTAAGAGATGGCAGAGCCAACAAGATTCAATACAGTGCGAGTGATAACAAATGTTCTATCCCCCAAGGGACTGCAAACTCCACGATGGCAAGAACCAGAGCCAGCCACCA